GAAGGCAAGGTCCAGGTCTGGCTTGCTCGTGTGGATTCCTGCCCTCCCTAGTGAATATTCCGGAATGGCAGTTCACTGTTAGAAGTTACTCATGAGCCAGCCTGGGGAGGCATCTTCCCCTGGAGACCACATCCTGGGGCCTCAAGATGCCTGGAGAGTTCCCGGGCCAGCAGGTTCCCGTAGGAAGGTTCTTTTGGGGGTTGCTGGGTTCTGCAACCAGGACAGCTGGAAGCCTGCTTCGAGCCCACCCAGGAGCTTCCTGGGAGCTTGAGGATGTCTTCACTGTCCCCAGGGCTGCCAGGTGCAGAGAGCAAACTGGGGAAACCCTGGCAGGCGAGTCACTAGGGGTCCTCAAGGCCCAGTGACAGAAGGCAGCAGGTGAACTGCCCCTGGCTGCTGCTCCCGGGCTCTCAGTGCCACCACACAGGAGGGCCCCAGAGCTTCGCGAGGTTGGTCCAGTCCCTGCCTCTGGCTTGGTCTCTGCCCAGCACCCAAAGTTGGCTCCAGGGGGCCCCACTGGCACAGTGAACATCACCAGTGTCCCCACTTTCTTGAGGCTGTTTATAGGGGGATGTTGAGGCTTGCGGAGTTTCCTGGAGGTGGTAGCTTCGATGGAAGGGTTTGATGACCTTTGACAGGAGCCCCTGGGAAGTGCAGACCACTTGTCACTTGGGGTATATTTGGGAGGGAATGACAACAAGGCCCAAGAGGTAGAATGTCAGGGAGAGGAAGGACATGGCAGGCGGGAGCCAGGTAAATGGCAGACCAAAGCTGAGGGCCTGGAGCGAGCAGTGGGCAGCCCAGGTGGCTGGGGATAGGGCGTGCGTGCGTGTGCATGTGTGTGCATGTGTGTGTCTTAGCTATGGGAACACCAGCCTTTCCCCCTCCAGGCCCCCTTGCCTACTATGCTTAGACTTGTGCTGCCAGCCTTGCTGCAGAGACCCTGGCACCTGGTGTTCCCTGTTCCTCTGTCTGTACCTGACCAGCCTCCGCCTCACTGCCCTCGAGAGGCCCAGGTGTCCGCCCACAGCCCTGCTCAGTGGGTCGGATCCTTCCTTTATGCTCCTGAAGCCCTAGGCTTCCCGTACAGCACTTGTCACTGTGTCTTGGAATTGCCGCTTGGGTCTGTATCCCTTGCGAGGCTGCAGCCTCTTGAAGGCAGGGCTGGTTGTTCTGGCAGCCGCTGTGTGCCCGGGTGCCCGTGTACGTGGGGCAAACAGCAGGTGTCAGAGAGCTGCCGGCAGAATGAAAGCGGGTGGGCACATGGGCAGCTCGGGTCCCTGCATCGGTTCTCCCACCTTTCTCCCCAGACTGGGAACTCCTCTCCAACCAGGCGCCTACTGGGAGTCAGCACCGTCTCTCCCAGTGCCCGTGGGTCCAGCCTGCCCTCCAAGGAGACCTGGAGGCTTCCTGTCGTTCTGCACACCTGTCTCCACATCCTCCCCAAATTCCATCTTTTCCGAATAAATCTCTCTCGCCGACCTTGCCCTGGTTCTCCCTGCCTCCAAGGTGCCCTCTGTGCTGGAGGACGATCCCAGGGCAGGAAGGGGCCCCCTGCCCACCCCTCTCACCCTGGGGAGAGGGAGCTGCCAGCCCTGCTTCCAGCAGCAGACACAGGCTCCTGCTAGGTGGCTGTATGTTGGTGCCTTCTTCTGCTGAATTTGAATCCTGACTTCAACATGTCGTAACTTTTGTGACGTTGAGAAAGAGTTTAATCTCTCGGGGCCTCTGTTTCCCCAGTTACAATCGGTTATACTAAGAATAGCTTATGAGCAAATGCCTGTGTGTGTGGCTGAAGGCTGGGCGCTGGTGTAGGACTCATGCGGATCTCGTCCCAGCTCCAGCTCCCATGGCTGGCACCGTCTGGGCAAGACTCCCTAACCTCTCTGGGCCTCAGTTTCCTTATCTGCAAACAGGGCCAAGGTTATGCCCTCTCAGGGGTGAGGAGGCTGGACGAGGTGGGGGAGGCACAGGAGAGAGAAGCAGAGAGATTCCTGCCTCTCCAGGCCCATCCCTCTGCCCCGGGCCAGGAGCCATCCCTCCCACGTTGCACCCACCACCAGACCCAGCTCCCACCGCCCCACAGCGTGTGAGTGAGGGGGTAGAACATGATGGGTCCTGTGGTCACTCAGAGTGAAGTGGGCAGACAGGAACTTGAAGAGCTGGGGTGAGTTGGAGGCACACCCGCTATGCCCCTCAAGGGCTTGGGTGGCTCTGAGTTATGCGGAGGAGCTGCAGCACCAGCTCTGGCCACGGCCACTTCCTGGCCTTGCAGACATGCTGCTGCCTGAAGCCCAGGAGAGGCTGGCTGCCCGCCAGCCCAAGTGGAAACGTACCAGAGAAAAGGGCCCTTTGGGACCCCTGGAGAGGGGACCCAGGGTCTCCACCAGGAGGAGTGAGACACTGGGCGCCTGAGCACAGCTGGAAAGGGGTCCAGCCCACACTGTAGCCCGCCCTCCCTCCCTCCCTCAAGAAAGCTCTGCCTGCAGCTGGCGGGGAGGGGGGTATGGTAACAGCAGACAGACCTGGGGGAACCCCAGGGTGTGGGGCTGGGGTAGCTGGGAGACCCTGAGGGAGGGTCTGTACATGTGCTGGCTGGAGCATATGGTGTTTCTGGGTATGTATGTGCAGTGCATGCGTCTGTGATGTGTGCCTTTTAAGTGTGTGTGTGGTTTGGGGGCACGTCTCCGCGGGGTGTATCTCTGTGTGTCTGTAGAGCGTCTGTGCAGTGTGCATCTCTGTGGGGGTGGGGGTGTCATTTCTGCAGTGTGCTGTGTGTGTGTGTCTGGTGTTTCTGTATGGTGGGTTTGGGGTGTGTGTGTGTGTGTGTGTGTGTGTGTGTGTGTGTGTGTGTGCCCGTGTGCGGTGCATCCCGGTGGGCCTGTCCCTGGGTGTGCCTGCATCTCTACGTGTTTGTGCCGTGAGTGGCGGGAAACGAGGCTCACAGCCGAAGCTCAAGGTCCTCTTGACACAGAATCCATGTTTGCCGAGGAGGGGAAGAGGCAGAGAGGCGAGGAGAGGGGGGGAACCCCGGGAGAGGGCAGAGAGAGGCGCACGCTGGGATGAAGGGGGTCCACACGTGCGCCCGGGCCTGGGGCGGTACGCCGGGCTGGCGGGACCCCCCGAGGCCACCGCCCCACCCACTGTGGGCAGGTTACCACCGGCGCCCCTCGCGACCCGCGCCGCCCGCCGGCAGAGTGGTGGCTTGGGGCCCCCCACGCCGTGGAGGACCCACCGGCGGCCCCCCGCCCCTGCGCGCTCCACGCGGGACTCGCTATCCAGTGCTCGCTGCGGACAGTGCTGTGGCCGACTTAGCAGGTTTTAGTGTAGCACCAACAGCTAGAGGGTTAGCGGGGGGGCTGGGCGCGGGGTCCGGCCGCACAGCGGGGCGCGGAGAGGAGGGCCGCAGGGCGAGCGCGGCGCGAGTGGAAAAGTTTCGACCCCAGAGCGAGCGGCTGGGAAGTTTCGGCCGCGCCGGGCGGTGCCAAAGCCAGGCCAACACTGCCCCCTCGTGGGCGCGGCGCGGGGCGGCAGCCACCGGCGGGGCAGGGGCCCGCCGCGGTCCTGGGGGAAACTGAGGCTGGGAGAACCGCGCTGGGCTGAACGAGGTCACCGGGAGGTGGAGCGGCAGGATCAAGTCCTCTCGGAGACCCGCAGGCTCTCCAGGTACAGAAATACAGGGAGATGGCGTGGAAGTCCAGAAGGGGATGGAGGGGAAAGGTCACCCCAGCGATCGAAAATTCCAGTCCAGTCCCCGGGGAAGGTGGGCGGTAGCCCCGCCCCCATCTCAGCTCCCGCAGTAGGCGTGGCCTTGCTCCTGGAGCCAGGGCACCCCTTCAAAGCAGGTCTCTCCGAAGCACAGCCTTTCCTGGCCCTGAGATTCCCCCGCAGCGCCCCCAACCGAAACCCCATCCTTTCCACTTCGGCAAGGTGCCTACCTGGGTGTGGATTCCGTGGCTCTTTCCTCACTGGCCAGGGGGTGGCGGTGAAGACCCGGATCCTGGGGACGCGGGGGTTGGGGCCCAAGCCGGCTTCAAGGAGAGAGAGGAGGGGCCTCCAACTCGCCCAGCGGCTGGGACCCCGGGGTGGCAGGGCCAAACCTGGCTGACAGGCACGTGGGGAGACGCTGCTGGGTCAGTGCAGTGCTCCCAGAAACTCCTGGCCCTTCCAACTAGGAGAGACTTCTGTCCCCTGGCCAACAGATACCCGTCCTCAGGGAGCAGGTGGGGGGCACTGGCCTGGCCAGTGCGTACACAGGGCTCTTTCCCCTTGGCCTGAGTCTGGACGCCCCCTCTCCCCCCCATGGTGGGAGGCCAGCACCTAGCCTTTGGCTCCCAAGACGGAGGCTGGGGGCAGAGGTGTGGGCTGCTCTAGGTCGACACCGGTTTGGCCCCAGATTTCAGGGGTGTGGCAGGGTCTCCCACCTTCCAGCAGAGGGGTCCATTTGGGACACGCCCTGACCCTCGGGGGTGCCTTGCACCTACCCTTCAGCCTCATCCCCACTGTGAGTCTGCCCCCTCCCTCCCCTGGTCCAGGACCCCTGGGGACCAGCACCCAGCACCTGGAAAGGCTTGTAGGGTGAGACCTGACAGCAGGTCCCAGCCACCTGGGATGCGCATTTATTTGTGGGGCAAGGAAGGCCTCTCCCCGCTCCCCTACCCCATCCGTGTCCATGCCTGGGGTTGGGCTCCAGCGGCCATGAACTTCTGAGCCCATGCTGCGGGAGGCAGGGGGAGCCGGTACCCCTTAGGGCTGCCTTGCGTCAGGACCGTATGCAGAGTAAGAAGGAAGCCCTGCTGGGCACTGCAGGGGCCTCGGGGCAGGAGATGGGGCTCCCTGGGCCCAGGGGGGATTCTACACCATGCCCTAGGGGGCAGGCACTATGGTCAGCCCCATTTTACAGATGAGGAAACAAATGCAAGAAGACAGCTTGCCGGTGTGAAGCTGGGATCTGAACCCAGGCAGCCCAGCTGAAGAGCCCGCCCCTTGGCTGCTGTGCCTCAAGGAGGCAGGGCAAAAGGCACAGGGCCTGGCCACTGCAAGCCCTCACGGTAGCTGAGCAAGTAGGGTGGCTTCAGCCTGTGCCCCAGCCACCCCCACTTCCGGGGAGGGGTGCTATAGGTGGCCAGCTTCTGGCTCAAGGAGCATGGTGATTTGCTGACCTGCTCTAGGATGCTGTGGGTGTCCAGGAAGGTTCTGAGGTCCCCCTGCGGTCTCTGGGTGGTGGCCCTGGGGATAAAGGGCAGGCCGCTATTCATGGCAGTGTTGTCAGAGATGTGGCCCTGTGACTCCTGGGTGAGCCTGAGGAGGGCAGGAGCCCATGAGCTGCATGGGCCCTGAGCCCCAGGTCCACGCATGGCAGGCAGGGCCCTCAAGGCCTACCCAGACTGCTGGACAGGGAGGTCTGTGGGGTGAAGAGGGGGAACCCAGGCAATGAGCTCGTATTCCGTCCCCTTCCCTGGAGCCTCACAGGCCGGGGCAGTCCCAGCCAAGAGCCGGCTGCGGCCCCCTTGTCCCTGGGGCACAGGGCTCGGGGCGAACTCCCCAGCCATCTGCTGGCACTCCTGAACTCCCGACCCGAGGCTCCTGGCCGGGTGGTTGTCTTGCTCTCAGCGATGCTCTGCTGGACTGGAGGAGTAGGGGCTCGGGTGAGATGCCTACCCAGGAGGGGCCACCAGTGCCCCCCTCTCCCCTACTCCCTCTGCCTGTCTCCATGGCAACCCAAGGCTCCCCAGCGCCTTCTGGCTGCCTCCAGAGAAAGCTTGGGTTTTAAAACTATCTTGCGTGACAGTTTCTGCCTTTATTACCCAAGCTGTGCTCTCCCCACACACCCACTCCTGCTGCAGACCGTAAGGCCCCCTTTCTTACAGTGGGAAAGCCAGTCACCCCACTACAGAAATCAGAGAGTAATGCTTAATGCTGAGAATCTAGGGGGATGGAGGGCTATCTCGGGCTTGGAGTCTTCCCTGTCCAGCAGCTGCCCCTTTGCTTGTCAGGGACCCCAAACTCCCCAGTGGCAGCCTCAGGATGGAAAGGGCTGGGACACAGTTGGCTGAGCCCCACTCTGCTGCCCTGGGGCATGACCACCGCCCCTGTGGCCACTGGCTGGTGAGGAAGCATCTCTGATGCCACCAACTGCCATTGGCCTGGAACTGTTTCTCCAGAGCATCTCCCTTCCCAGGGTCCCCAGAGGTGGCCTGGGGCACTCTAGCTTCTCTTCTTCGCTGCTGCATCACCTACTCTCGGCTGTGGCTTCCCCATCGACCACCAGAAGCTGGGCAAAATGACATCCTCTGTCTCCAACTTTCTATGCCCTGGGGGTTGGATAGGATCCCTCCTGAATTTGTGAAGGTCCTGGATTTTTAGGACTTTATTCACAGCTAGGCTTTGGGGCAGCTATTCCATGAAACTGCACACAGTTGGTGTTTAATAAATAGAAGCAAACCCTGGGCTGCAGGATCCTAAGCAGAGAAGAGGCCAGGCAGATGGAGAGAAGGGGGTTTGATAAGATTATACCAGAGCAAGGACAGGTGACCTTTCTGCCTGCCTTCTGACACCCACTTTAGAACATACTGGAAACTATCCAAAACTATTGCCTCCATCCCCAAAGAGCCCAGAGCAAACTTCTGCCCTGGCACCCGGGCCTGGTGGTTCCTCGCCTCTTTGCCAGAACTTCAGTGCCAGCCTCCCCTAGGAAAGAGAAGGTTTAATCCTCTGGACCTTTCTAGGCACCTCCTCAGCCAGGCCCTCAGTCTGCCTACATGGATATGGGAAGAAGGTGCTTCCAGTGCCTTCCCACCTTCTCCGGCCCCTGTAAGCCATGCAGGGGGTCAGATGTGGGGTCAGGAGGCTGTGGGTGCTGGTTCCAAGGTGGGCAGATCACGGCATGTGGGAACCCATTGCCACCCAGAAGTCCTTCAGTGGAGGCCAGGCCTAGGCCATTGTTTCCTGGGCCACCACTGCAGCGGCTCCCTGGAGCCACCTACTTGGGTACACCTCTGCCGGACCTCAGGCCCTCTATTTGGCCTGTGAAATTCACCCTGACATGTTCTGCAGAGGCTGGTTTGGACACCTCCTCTGTAGGGTCAGTGGCCTCCTGGCCTTGGCAGGCTGGCCCCTTACTCCCAGGACCCAGGGCCATGGGCCATTGCTCCTGCTCTCCCAGAGTCCCAGGGCTCCCCATCCTGTCTGCGTACCAGCACAGCTGCGCTCCCAGTAGCGGAGGGCTGTGTCCCGGTGGGTCTCATCAGCGAATCGCACTCAGAAGGGGCAACATCGCCTGCAGTGCCCTGAGCTGTCTGCTGAGGGGTTGTGGGTGAGCACAGCCTTGAGCTTGGGAGCCTGTGTACCGTTGGGGCCTGCTGAGAAAGGTGAGAGGGGCAGGGGAGGTCCAGGGCCTGAGCTCCCAGCCTCCACTCCGCCCTGACCACACACACCCAGCAAACTAGAGCTCGCAGTGTGAGCTCTTCCTGCCTGCCGGGAAACAGATCAAGCATACAACATGCCATCAGCCCACCAAACCCACACGACCCTGTGAAGCACGATTTTTATTCCCATTTTACAGATGAGGAGGCTGAGGCACAGAGATGTTTTGCAACTTGCCCGAGATCACAGCTGGCAAGGGGTGGAGCCAAGATCTGAATATTGGTTCCAGAGCCAGGACGTTTCCATGTCAGGCACTTCGGCCAAGAGAATGAGGATATGAACTCGGGTGCCAGGAGTTCATGAATGGATGGATGACTGGCTAGATGGATGGGTGGATGGATGGATCAACAGGAGACCTGATTCATGGGTGGGTGGATGGATGGTGAGATCCACGAGTAGGTGGTAGAATACCTGGTTCACAGATGTGTGCAAGAATGGATGGGTGGGTGGGAGAAGGAATACATGCATGGATTCATGGATGAATTATGAACGCGTTGGTAGAAGACCTGATTAATGGGTAGACGGATTCGTAGATGTTGATGGATGATCCTCGAACGGGTTGGGAGAACACCTGATTCACGGGTAGATCTATGTAATGGTGAATGAGTGGATGGGTGCATGGGTGGGTGCATGGGTGGTGGATTCATGAATAGACTGTGAACGCTTTGGCAGAAGACCAGATTCATGGACGGACATACAGATGGATAGGTGGCTAAACTCATGGATGAAAGGCAGAGGAAAGAAAGGGAGGGGAAATGCTCCTTCTCCCCACTTCCCTAGCTCCATCCTCCCGTAACTCACTGGTTGGCCTTCTTGACCGGGGTGGATTGTGAGTGATCTCTCCTCAGGGGCCCCAGGGCAGGCATCTGATGGAGCAAAATCTTCTTAAGACTATTCTGGAAGTTCAATGACTGGCCCCTTGAAGACAAATAAGCGACACCTAGCATAAGTGATCAGGGTCCTCCCACTTCAGAGCATTGCCCATCCGCAGCAGCAGGTCACTGACACTTACGGCAGGTCTGGGAGGACAGAGCAGCAGGGGCACCGAGAAGGCTGGCAGTGCTCTGACACACGCCTTTGATGTTGCAATGCTGAAGATCCTGGGAGCTAGGAGATGGGAACAGTTACAAGCACTCAAGGAGGGGCAGTCACTATTAGGCTCTTCCTGGTTATATGGCCTTGGGCCTCAGTTTCCTCATCTGTACAATAGGCACAGTGGCAGACTGGTCCTCAAGGCGTGGTTGCCAGGACTCTGCCAGCCATACGCAACTAACATTAGCATCATCCTGGACTTGGTGGGAGCCCCTGCCCCGCCCGCCCCTTGGGAGGCCCCACAGGGCCTCACTCGGTGGCTGGGGCTGCACTGCACACCTAGCCCCGAGCGGGCGAAGGAACTGCCGAAACCTGCTGAGCAGGAGCTCTCCTAGCAGGGCGCCCAAGGAGTCACAGGGCTCCCGGACGAGTGCCTCCGGCCGTCCTCCCATCTTCCAGGTCTGGGCCGCGGGGGCCAGGAGCACGTGCGCCGGCGGCGGCAGAGACCTCAGTGTCGGGTTCTGCGCCGCCCGTTGGGCCGCGGCGGGCAGGACAGGCAGGCGCGGCGGGGGACCCCTGACGCCCACCCCAGGCTTTGGGTGCAAGAACTCGCAGCTGGAAGCCTGCCACCACTCGGCGTCGCCCCCCACCAGGCCCTCGCTCCCCACGAGCCCCTCGCTCCAGGGGCTGCTCCGAGCTCAGGCGTAGGCGGCCTGGGCAGCGCAGGGTCTCTCCTTCGGCGGGCGCCGTGCCCAGGGAGCCTCTTGGGCGCCACCTGCCGGGCCGCGGGGTTGGGACAACGCCGGGGCCGGTGTGGCCCTGGGTTCAGCTCCGGGCATCCCCCTGCCGGTGCGGGCGGGGTGCCGTGTTGAGGGGCCAGGCGCCAGACCCTACTGTCCAGAGCGGGGGCAGTGTCGCTTGGGGATACCACCACTGGCTGGCCAGACGGTGAGTGACTTCAGGCTAGAGCTCGCGTTGCCTGTTTCCTCACCTGAAATGTGGTGACGGTGAGGGCACTCGCCTTCATTTTGAGTTGCTGTGACGTTTAAGTGGGAGAGCCCATGCAAATGGCTTAGAGCAGTGCCAGGCCCATTGTCCGTGCTCAACAAAGACTAGCTGCTATTGTTATTCTTTTAAAAGTATTATTAGGATTTAGTCTCAGCTGCACTAGTTATTAACTCTGTGACCTTGGGCAAACCAATGAGCTCCTCTCGGTGACCCCGTCTGTAGAATGGGGATGACGGAGCACCTGCTCCTGTGTGAGAATGAACGGGCACCGCCTGGTAGAGAGCACTTAGCACACAGAGCGTTCAAGTCTTGGGCGTTCTTACTGTTGATCAGCGCTCTGCTGGGAATTAGGAAGCCTGGAACCAGCTTAAAGGGCGAGACCTGCCCAGCAGTTGCCCAATCCCACTGGGGCCTCAGAACCCCTTGGTGAGGAGCTTGTTGAAAATACATATGCCCCAGCTTCTGATTTGTCTCAGGTGGGGCCAAGACATATTTTTAACAAACATCCCCTTTGGGAGACAGAGCCCCCAGACCTGCTTCCAACCTTCTCACTCGGTGGTGCTGGAGCCTGCTTCCTTCCCACTATCCCCCACTCCCAGATTGTTGTCAGTTCTGAGCTGGCCCCCAGTGTCATACTCACCCTAGTGGGGCTTCTGCAGGGACCAGAGAAGGTCTCCAATGTTTAGAGCCCCCTAACAGGTGGGGTGGTCTTTGGGAGAGCCCATCTTCCAGGCCTGGTCCCTCGGCTCTCCCATCCTTGCTGCCTCTGGGTGGCGCGCCCCTGCCCCAAGGCCCTGGAGCAGTGGGCACTGAGGCCTGGGGGCAGAGCATGGGGCTGTTGAGCTCGGGATGCCAAGGCTGCAGTCACAAGGGGGTAGTGGGACTCTTGACCAGGGCAGCCAGGGTTTGGCTATCCCTGCCAGGTCTGGAAGGTCCAGGTGGGTCCTCTTTGGGTTGAGTGTCTCTGGAAATAGAACCTCCACAGGAAGATTGGACAGTAAGAATGTAGTGGGCCTGAAAACAAAGAGAACCTATTCTGAGACCCAGTTCTATGTCCATGCTCTGCTTGTTTGCTGTGTGATGCTGGGCAAGTCTCTCCTTTCTCAGGCCTCCACGGTCAATGGACTGTTGTGCCCCAGCTGTGACTTGGCTGGGAGGGGACAGGGAAGAGCTTGTACTGTGAAATGCAAGTCTAGGAGAAGGTAGTTTGGACTAGTAGTTTTCCTGGCATGGTATAATTTTACAATTTGAACATGAAAAAGTGACTTTGTGATTCAAATTATAAGGCATCTGCCTGAAGGAGCCATCACAGTCAGTGTATACTATTTCTGCAAATATTCCTCAACCAGGGATGGAAGGGCGTTACCTCCTTGAGAAGTTCAAATACTGAGTGAGCAAGGTGAGAACTTTTAACATCCATCCTAAGCATATGTGACTTTTTAAGAAATGGATGAGGAGCACCAGACTAATCAGATGATTTCCATCTAGCCCTTGGATGCTGGCAAGCATTTATTGAGCAATTACTACGTGCAGGGCTTGGGAATTCAGAGATGCAAGAGGCTTTAAGGTGAGGGGGCTAGCCAGCCTGGGAAAGGCCTTGGAGTCCAGGTATAGTGTCCTCTTCCATTCACAGGGGGGAGAAAAGGAGGGTAGGGGTGGATATTTAGGCACCCCTAAAAGAGCTGGGCTACAGCTGCCCCCAAAAGATTATAGACACTACAGCAATGGAGGTTGCCCAGAATTTATCCCCTTCCCTTAGAGATGTGGAAAATTTAGCTTGGGAGAGGGCCCAGGTCAGGGGAACCAAGTCTGACCTGGAGTACTCTACAGAGAATGCCAAACAATATTTACATGAACAGATTTGGGGGACCCAATTGCACAGGGCTTTTCAGCTCCAATTCATTAGAGCAAAAGTTTTAAGCACCTCCTGTGTGCCACACCCAGAGGAAGGCTCTATATATTTAAAATCAGGAGACATGAACTTATGATGAATATTGTAGTTCTCACAGTTCTTCTTTACAGAAAGCCCACTGCAAAGAGAGTCTCATAGCCCACAGATTTGACCCTCAGAGTGCTGGAAGGTAATTATTCCATCTGTCTGGCGGAAGACAGACGGAGGCTTGAAGAGATTCACAGGGTCTACCTACCTGCAAACTCACATTTCCATTCAGGCTGCTTCAGGGACTATTCCAGAATTTTCACATATGGGAGGAGGTTGGGGGGAGAGGGCAAACTTTTTAAAATGGAGACTTTATGGATTTGTTCTGCTTATTTAGGATGACAACCCCATGGCACTGCCAAAGGCATTTCTTTTTTCTTGATCTCTGTATTATTTTAAGATGCAAATTGTAATGGGCGGGATTTGAGAAATAGGCTTTTCCCCCCTTCTTACCCAATGGAAAACTCAAAGAACGTTCATTTCTAAAAATCCAGCCTTGCAGCCTTCAGGGGTACCGGTGCATGTGCTGGAGGCCCTAGTCCGTGCCGGCTTTTTAAAACCAGGTCTTCCTTCCGTAATCACAGATGTCTGGGGCGCTCAGCAGCTCACCGGGCTGTGTAAGCCGGTCTCGGGGCGGAGCCAGCCGCCGCCCCGCCCCTCAGGGCGCCCGGAAGTGACGTAACGGACAGCGGCTGCGCGCGCCGCGAGGTGTCGCATCTGGCGGAGGTCTGACGGAGCTGGCTGGGAGCTTGCAGGGTGTTCGCTGCTGCCGCCGCTGCCTTCCCTTCCGCTTCCCCGTCCTCTTCTCCCGGGTCCTGGGAGCCCCTGCCCGGGGTGAGTAGCGCAAGGCAGAGCGGGATGGAGGGCGGCGGCCGCCGGAACTGGGAATGTCCCGGCTCCCAACTGCCTCGGGGCCCTGAGGCCCCGGCTCCTCACGTGGCCCTGGCGCGAGCTGGCGGGGCCCCACGTGCGCGCTCCCGGGAGGTCCGCGGTTGGCCCTGGGCCGCGCGTGGGGGGTACGGGAGGAAGGCCAAGGCACCCAAAGCCTGGGCGCGCCACGCCCCCACGCCGGTGCCTGGACCGCAGATTCCTCTCCGGGGATGAGGGGAGGAGAGCACCCCCTGGAAGGGTGGGTGTGAGGATTCAGGAATGTGCTCAGCCCAGAGCCGGGCACAGACTAGTGTCCGCTGCAGTGGAGTTGCTATCATATTTCACCTTGGACCCAGCCCCGCAATGGCCTGACACAGTGACGCTCGAAAGACAGCTCCCCCGGGGGCCCTTGGAGCCAAGGTCAGCCTCTTTGCAGAGAGCCTGCCATATCGAAAGGCCCAGGCTTTGCTGCCCATCAATTGTGTGACCTCTCTCTGGACTCTGGTTTCCCTGTCTGTACAATAAGGGATAGAAGGAACAGCTGGTGGCAGAGGCCCCGACAGTGGGGTTGTGCAGTACTGCACATGGGATCCGGATGTGTAGAATCGTTGCCCAGAGAGATGAGACCCTGAGAGGACTAGGGTCTTGACCGGTGTAAGTTTAGGTGCCCTCCTTACTCTGTGCCCGGCTTCCTGTGTGTGTGTATTTTAAGACACATCACTCCTTTAGTGGAATGGTTTTTCTGTCCTTAAACTGGGACTGTGAGGGGGTTGGAGGTACATGTGGAGTGCTTGGTGGAAACCAAGAAGCCATAGAGGCACAAAGCTAGTGTCCTCAAAATCTCTGCAGTGTTTCTGTTGATTACACTGCTAGGAAGCCACTCCCATCCCCTCTAAATTTGCAGAGCTGTTTGAGTCTGCTGGGTTGACCACCCGGCATAACAGCAGTACTCCTCTAAGAGTGTCTAACAGTCTATAGGGCATTTCAGTGCATGTTTCTCATTTCATCTTTGCAATTCGCAGAGATAATTGACGAGAGTCTCATTTAACAAGAGATTGCTAAACTCAAGATGCTATGTGCCCATCACTGTACGGGTTACATTATGCTTTTTATATTCACACTTAATTATCCAGCCTTCCTTTAAAGTCAGTATCACTGTTCCCACTTTATAAAGAAACTTACTGAGGTCAAGTGTCTTACTGGAGCTTCCACAGCCAGTGAGAAGCAGAGCCAGGATTCAGACCTGGTCCATCTGACTCCATCAGAGCCTTTGTTTTTAAATACCCGCCACTTTCTTTTTCATAGAGCACCCAGCCACTGCCATAGGTTCAGCTGCTATCCACAGAGGCCCAGGGAGAATAAGCCCTCTCCATCTTGCTTCAAGAGAGGGGGAAATGTGAAGCAGTCTCTTGCCTCCTGTTGCTTCTAGGCCTTTTCTTAGAGACTTACAAGTGAGGAGGATGAGTGACTGCAAAACACTGACCGTGACACTTCAGACACCATATTCTCTTCCGTGGATCTTGAGAGGAGAGAGAGAGCTGGGGCGGCTGCCCACGTGCCACCCTGAACACCCTGGAGTTGGGGAACAGGTGGCCAGATGACCATAATGATGCTGAGAAGCAGAAGTTCCCTGTGAGCAAAGGGTTCTGTTCCCCTCCGAGCCAGCCTAGAGCACACACGAGGCCAGACTGTGTCCGGGCCCCTTTCCCATTCCCCCTGCAGCATGTAAGTCCTCACAGTGATCTGGGCAGAATGTAGGACAACTTGGACTGACAACCCTGCTGTTCCCTCTGACTCCTAGGGACCTCGTGCCCACTCCAATCTGGACACCGGGAAGCGAAGCATAGACAGGGCCTTGGGAGTCACGTTTACAAATGAATCAGCTGTTAGAACAAATGTCAAAGTTATATTTGCCATTTCCCGGCCTAGATGTGGCTCCCCTGCCTTGTTCCTGGAATCTGCCTGTAAGTGGAATTCTTGTAAATTAGATTATTCAGGGGACCTTGACATTTAAAAGAATCATGTAAGGCTTTTGGTAAAGCAAAAAATTAGATTGTCGGTAAAGGACTTCAGTATTACCGTTTTTGAATGGTTGGATTTTGTCTGTAGTTTTTTCTGTAGGATTTTCTTAAAAGTGGAAAATGACTATAGCTGCACAAAGCTCATTCTTTGAATCACTCAACATTTGGTTAGTAACCACCTGTCTTGTATCCAGTGCTGGGCTAAAGGTGTATGAAGTGATGTCCCTGCCCCCCAGGAAGCTCACATCTTGGGAGGGAAGGCAGGAAGATAGGCAGAGAGTACCGACAGGTGTCTGGCCCCAAATTTATTGTGTCCACTTAATTGGATGTCAACTTTTTGTTGAATACCTGTGTGCTATGTGGGATGGAAGAGAAATAACGGTGGTACATCCCAGGGTGTCGCTGCTGCTCTCCAGGGAGCTTGTTGTCCATGGTGAGATAGGTATGAATGCAAAACCAGAAGTTTGCCAAGACTGGTGGGCAATGAAGGGGACAGGGCCAGTGTTGTTGCGCTCCAGTCTGAGCGGAGCACTGCTGATGTGGTGTGGAAGAGTTGGCTCTGCACCATGCTTCCTGGGTAATGGTGGCGGGGCTGACATGGCCGCTGGGGTGCCTTTGGCAGGGGCCAGTCAGCCCACTTGGCCTTGTAGATCCTACCCACATAAGCAGTTCCCAAACCCAGCTACATGGTGACACCTGGGCAGGTGGCCACTGTTCCTGGCAGCTGTCAGGGCTACAGTGATGTCCCCTCCACCACGACTGGCATTCTCAGGGATTGGCAGGCCCCCACGTTTTTACTTGCCGTGTACCTCAAGGTTAGAGCAAGAGTTCACTTCCATAAGCAGTGTGCCACTTTCTCCTCCTGGGTGGGAGGGAGAACTTCAGGAGCTGGGTGGGACGCTGGTGGGGGACATTGCGATGCGTTAGCGTAGGGGGGCGTGGTATTTTGAACCAAGGCTTCCCCCCACCCAGCTTATTATCCCAAAGAGCTCTTTGATTGGCACAGTAATTGGAACTTGTCTTCACTGTGGCCCCAAACCTTGTACCTGAACAGTGAAATGAGGTCATGGGTCAGAGGGCTGATCGAGGAATCTGAAGAGAGGCTGGAGCAGGATTCCCACTACGGCGGAAGAAGGTGGGGACGGTGGCAGAATCACAGATGCAAGAGCTGGTGCTTGGCAGGGCCCGTGCATGCTGTCAGCTCTCTTTCGGCTCCTCAGAGGCCAGTCTGTGACCTTGTCCGTGAGGAATGCCCGAATGCACAAGAGATGGGGATCGGGGTGGGAGGGGGCCCCTTCGCTGGCAAGGGCTGGGCATGGCAGAAGCAGAGCTGCCTCGGTGAGCATTCTTGAGTTCTTGGCTGAAGTGGGCCTGCTGCTTCTGGAAGGTTCCTTCTTGTGCAGGACAAGGTCAGAGTACAGTTGTGTGCTGGGGGCTAGTCACAAATGTGGCCAATGGAAACCCTTCAGCTTTTTTCATGTGTATTCCCTTCTGTCTCCCTTTGTATCTCCACATGATCTGTGGAAGGCCTGATGCTTGCCCTCAGGCACTTTCTACTCGGATTACTTCTCCTGAAGCCCTCAGTGTATTCCTTGGTCTTCAGGATTTTCAGTTGTTCTTACGGACTCTGTTGGGTCCCACATGAATCCCCCTATGTTGCCCTTGTGTTCCAGGGGTCAGGATTTAACTGTGCCCTACGGACCAGTGTAAAGGTGGGTTGGGGGGAACCACAGGAGAAGAGACGTGCACAGCTTTCCGGGAGGATTGTGGCAGAGCTCTCACCCTGTACTAAGGGACTCGTGGGATCAGTGCTGGGGACACAGTGGCGAAAAGGCAAGGTCCTGCCTTGGGAGGAGGCTAGACAGTAAGGAAACAGTAATTTCAGAGAAATACACATTCTGAAGGCAGCAAAATGGAATTGGAGAATGGTGTTGGAGGAAGTTGCCTTGCATATGCTGGCCAGGGAAGGCTCTGAGGAGGTGACACCTCAACTGGGACCCTGTGGTGAAAATGAGCTGCCCCTGTGGGAAGGACTGTCCAGGCCTAGGGCTGGCAAGCACACGGGCCTCTTGGCTGCGGAAGCACTTCCTTGGGCATCCGGCCCCTGCTCCACGAGGTGTGAAGACCCAGCGGCCAGCGAAGAGCGCCCAACATGCCATTAGAGCAGGAGCAGCCCCTGCCGCTAGCTTGGCCCTGCCATTCCCACTCAGCCGCCCAGCCCCCCTGAAGCTTTGGTCCCAGCACACCCCGCGCCCTTCAGAAGCCCTCAGCTGAGTGGTTTCCCATTACAGGCAGACTAGACTCATGGCCCCAGCCTGTGCTCGGCGCTCGCCGTAAGCCAGGCCCAGTCTGCCTGTCCGAACTCCTCTGCCACACTATCTTCCTCTGTCCACATTCCAGCCGGTCCAGGCCACGCCAGCCCTCTGAGTGTCCCTGCCCCACCCGCCACTGCCCCAGCGTTCCCCACCCTTCAGGGCCCAGCTCGGGTTGCCCTGTCTTGGCTGCCGCCCTGGCCACCATTTGGAAGGTATTCTTCCATCCCGCCAGGCACCATGGCACTTCCTGGCTCCGTGAGAGTCCTCATTGTCTCCACTTTGTGTTTAGTTGGTTCCCGTTTTTCCCCGTCTCTCCTGCTGGACTGTAAGCTCTCAGGGTTAGACTTTATCTCAACCAGCCCCACAACCACGGGAGCTGCGCCTACACAGGGTGGTCATTTGTTGAGATGTGCCAGTGCCTCAGGGTGGAGATGGGCTCCCTCTGTGCCTCACTCCTCCCTCTTCTGAGTGGCTGCTGGAGCTCTGCTGCCAGGGCCCTGTCACCTCCCCCTCTTGTCCATTCCAGTAACTCTCCTGTGGGTGTCTGCTTTCTTTTGCTGCCAATAGTCCCCCAGAAACATGCATCTTCTCACGTCATTCTCTGCTTAACCTAACGTAGTTAAGCCCACTGCTCCTTAGGACAGAGTATGGACTACCCAGTGGGACCCACGGGCTCTTGAGCTTCCAGTTGCAAGGGCTCCTGCACGTTCTTTTCCTTCTGGAACAATCTTCTTGCCCAGTTTGCTTAGTGGACTCTACTCCGTGGTTTCAGCTGATGGGTTGCCTCCCCTGGGATGCTGGCCTTGACCTGCCAGTGAAGAAGGTCCTCTGGATATGCTCTTCGGCGTCCTGTACTCCTCCACAGCCCTTACGCTGTAGCAATTGTTTGTCTGTGCAGCTCTTTTCCATCTGGCTTCCCCATTTCGCAGCACAGTGCCTGGCACAGAGTCCCAACCCACAGAGAGTTGGACTCCTCGTGCTTGCGAATGGGAGGAAGGCAGGAGTGAGGCTTCTCAGGCCCCTTCCAGGACAAGCTGGAATGTCACCGTAGGAAGCTAGACTTCAGTGTACATTTCTCTTAAGTGTACATTGGGGTTCCCTGTACCCTGGGGTTGGAGCCATCAAGTCAGGTGCCATGTAGAGGGAGGAAAGAACCAGAAGCCAGGACCCCTGCTAGGGTCTCCTGCTCGGATAGGAAGATAGCTTTGCACAATGACTTAAATGCAGGACACAGAAGGCACTGCTATCCAAAGGGTGGGAGCAGTTTTGGGGACACTGGACATTCCTCTGCATCAGGCAGGATTGTGCAGCCAGGGAAGCAGGGTGTGAGTGGGCCCTCTGTCTGGCTGAGCCACTCCTTTTCTTGTTCAGGAGGTGCCGCTGCTGAACTTGTCACCTAGGCAGAGACGTGGTTGGTGACAGCATGACAAGTGAGGTGATAGAAGACGAGAAGGAATTCTATTCAAAGGCCAAGACGTACTGGAAGGAAGTCCCAGCCACAGTGGATGGCATGCTCGGGGGGTATGGCCACATCTCCAACATCGACGTCAGCAGCTCCCGGAAGTTCCTGCAGAGGTTTCTGAGGGTAGGCGGGTCTGGCTGCCCCACAGGAGCAGAGGGTGCGGCACAGGTGCTGCCTGTCCGCGCAGGGCACTGCCTTTACATACTGCTGCAGGGCCTTTGGCTGCCTGGCCACGCCACCAGGCAGGGGTGGCTTGTGGACCAAGGACTTTGCCTCAGGGTGACCAGAAAGGAGGTGGCTGTTTTGCTGGGGGACTTGTGGATGCCAGAACTGAGTCACCTTCCTTTAAATGTTGAGTTCTGCCATGGACGAACCCTTGGCTCTCTTAGCCACGTGCAGGCGTTTGGGCTATAGGCATTGCCTGATTTGCTGAAGGCAGGCTCCTGGTTACTCACCCCTCTGCCTTCTGCGGCAGGCTGGTATGTGTCTGGACCCCTCCGGGCCTGCCTCTTGGCGTGCCTTGGCAAGCACCACCAGCTGCTGCTTGCCCCCACCCCCACCCCCCCACCCCCGTCTGGTGTCTCTCCTCCACCTACTTCTCACCTTTCCACCTTTGTTAAAATCGCTGATTGCCCTCCTCCATTCTTTCACCACCTGAATTCTTTTCATTTTCTCTGCTGTTGTTCTAAGAGGGTCCCAGGAGTAGGATGGAGGAAGGTACCTGATCAAATTACCACCTTTAGGTGGGAGCTGGCTTTCATTTAGAAGTGTGTGGCCCAGAAAAGGAGTGTGCCGTGCGCACAGCCCTCGACATCCCCACTGCTGCCAGCCACCAGCCTGCGTCCAGTCCCAATCTGAGCCGTTCTCTGGGGCCTGTGAGGAACGGCCCCTTCACAGTGGCAGGGTCCCTCTGGCTTCCTCGGTCTGCCTTACGGAGTCTGTGCCTCCTGCTTTATAGGACGGCCCGAACAAGACGGGAACCTCCTGTGCCCTGGACTGCGGAGCTGGCATTGGGAGGATCACCAAGCGACTGCTCTTGCCACTCTTCAGAGTGGTGGACATGGTGGATGTGACAGAGGATTTTCTGGTTAAAGCTAAGACCTACCTGGGCGAGGAAGGCAAGAGGGTGAGGAACTACTTCTGCTGTGGTCTGCAGGACTTCAGCCCAGACCCAAACTCATACGACGTTATCTGGATCCAGTGGGTGATAGGTGAGCGTTCCACTTCTCTTTTCCACCATCCTGCACATCTCCCACTGTTGGACACAGGTTCCCCAGGAAGCCTTGGGAGCTGGGGCTTGGGGGCTCCTGCCCCACATGGGCCAGCAGAGACTCGGGGGGCCCTCCCTGTGCTCCCTGGAGTGTGGGGACTCTGTCTACATCTCCTCCCATGTTTGTTTCAACTCAGGGCAGTTTTTGTTGAAAAACATAAATGACCACCAATTTACTATATTCAAAGAACATGGAAATGAGTTTTTGTAAGTAACTTTTTTAAGGGAAAAGTTGAGGCCTCGGGCCCCTGTTCAGAGTGAGCCCTGCTGTCCATCCTATCCTGCACCCACTTAGCCTAACAGTACACCTGGGGTGCTCTGGCCAGGCTGCTGACCTGGCAGTGGGCCACTGTGCCAGCAGTCACCCACCCCCTCCAAGGCAGGTAGCACAGCTCTGCTGGGGACATGCTGGATCTGGCCCTTTATTTTGTGGTCCCCAAAGCCTCTGGAATTTTAATGCAGGACAGGAACTCCGGTCCACTCCCATTCCAGGCCTAGGAGCACACAGAGTGTAGGTGCTGGGAGTGGTCCGGAAGACCCCATCAGGGTGAAATCCCAGCTGTGTAATTTGTGATGGCCCGTGGTAGGAGACTTTGGAGCCCATGTCCTCTTAGAGACAGTGGGGTTCAGTAAACTCCAGACTGTTGAGAGCTAGGGAGGCCCCGTATTAAGCACAAACTGCTCAGTCAGTCAGTAAGTGGCGCACAGTTGTGCTTGCATCATCATTTCCTGGCTACCGATGCTTCTGCCTTCCCCAGGCCACCTGACTGATCAGCACCTGGCCGAGTTCCTACGGCGCTGCAAGCAGGGCCTGCGCCCCAATGGCATCATCGTCATCAAAGACAATATGGCCCAGGAGGGCGTGATCCTGGATGACGTGGACAGCAGTGTGTGCCGGGACCTCGAGGTGGTCCACAGGATCATCCACAACGCAGGCCTGAGCCTCCTGGCCCAGGAGCGGCAGGAGAACCTCCCTGACGAGATCTACCATGTCTACAGCTTAGCCCTGAGATGAAAGGGGCTGGCGGGAGGAAGAGAGACCAGTGTGCGGTGGGGTGGCTGGCAGCTGGGTGAGATCGAGGCTCCACGTCAGAGGTTCGGGATTGTTGAACACCACCACTAAATACACCTGTCTGCCACCCACTCACTATATAGACTCGCTTTGAAAACAGCATATGGGACTCAGTGGGGAGGGGTGAGCCCGCTCTGCTGCCCTGAGGCAGGGTCCAGGCAGTACAGGCCTGTGTGCCCCAGGGCCCTGGTGCACCCTCTCTGGGGATTTCCCGGATCTTCATTACCACCTGGCCTTCCAGCAGGCCTGGCCGCCTTAAGAGGAAGAGAGTAACTCTTCCCTTGGATGTGAGGACTTTCCCTCCAGGGAGGAGCTAGGCTGGTGGAACGGGTGGCTGGCCGCACCCTCCTGGCTGCGGAGCCCATTCAGCACCTACGGTGTGGTGCAGCTGGTGGGGATGTCCGCATGCCAAGTCCTGTCCGGGGATGGGGCCCTGGAGTCTCTGATGTGATCGTCCAGCGGCCTGCAGCGAGGGGAGAGTCTGCAGCCTCCCTCCGGGCCATGCCTTGTGGCTCCTTGGCAGGCACCTTCCGTCAGAAATAAAAGGGTGAATTCCTATACAGGGAAGGCCCTAGCCAGTCTGGAGTGGTGCTTTTCTTTACTGGGCTACGGCTGTGCTACTTGAAAATATCACCACATACTGCATCCCCTGTGCCCACCACTTCTTCCTGGCTCTCTGGGGTCCTTTATCCTCAACTGGAAGGGACAGGGTGGCACTGTCACACAGGGACCTTTAAGGCCAAGAGAAATCAGTTTAATATATAATTTAGTTGCCTCAGCTAGTTTCCAAGGCAATTTACACAATTCACAATGACCACTGTGACTTGGGAACAGCTTTGTGAGGACTCAGCATTGGGCAGTAGTCGGCTTTCATTCTTGGTAGCTCTCTGCATCAGATGAGCCCCTCACAAAATGAGACATTTTAGAAAGGACTGTCCCTGGTCATGCATGACTGCTTTTTAAGCAAAAGCCATGGTCCCCCTAAGACCCCAGGCTTGGCACAAACGGTTACACTAAAGCACAGTCCTGTGCCTGGCTGCACGGGGCTACGGGTGACGGCCCCAGAGCTGCAGACCTGGCAGCCCGGCATTCTTGCCAGCCCACCAAAAGCACTTTTGTTAAGTGACAGAATCTAGGGCGAAGAGAGGCAGAAGTAAAGAGCCTTAGGTGGATTGCACCCCACAGGCCCGGCCAAGCCCCATTCTGGCTTCAGCTGTGTCTCCAGGACAGACCAGGTTCCTGCAGCTCTTAGGAGGGCCCAGACTTGGAGCTAAATGCCCACGGCTCCCCCAAAAATAAGAGGGCATTAACTTGTCCCAAATCCAAACCCCACCTGTTTCCCCAATGTGGGTTGAGACTTGGGGGTGCTGCTAGAGGGAAGGGGCACTGTCTCCCTGGAAGACGCAGAAGGCTTTCCCACTGGAATGGCTGCAGCTGCTGCGCTCCCCTGGCTTTCCTGCTACTCAGTAAGGATCAAGTCTCATCTGCAACCTGCACCTTTTGGCAGATGGGCTGAAGGTTCTCCCCAAGCCTGCTGCAGGTACCCCTCACCCACAGGTGACTGAGCTGCCCAGGCCCTGCTCCCTTTAGGCTGGAAACAGCCAGAGGTCATCTTCGACGGTGCCACTGTGCTCACTGAGGAGGTACCATTTCAGCCTGTCGGGCAGAGGCAGGGCTTTGACCTTGGCGTCCACGGGCCATGGCTGAAGGTAGAGCCGGATGTAAACGCGACACAGGTGCTTGAGGGTCGGGGGGTAGCTTTCCAGCTGCCTCAAGGAGAAGTGAAGGGCCTGGATCTTTTCTGCCAAGCTGCCCACAGGATGAATATCGAAGTTTTGTGGTAGCTGGAGTTTCTGGGAATTGGTCACCATGAGATCCAGGACGGTCTCAGCCTTGCGCAGGAGGTCCACATGGCTCTCATCTTCGGCACAGCCTGGGTGGGAACAGAGCCTCTCAAAGATGATGTGGAAGCCGGACCAGCAGGCCGCCCCGTGGAGGGAGCAGTTGTAGGCAGCTCCAGACTCCAGCAGGAAGCGCAGGAGGGGGAAGTGCAGTTTAAAGCTCTTCAGGCAGCTGTGTGTGAGGGACTCGTGCGCAGGGCACTCGCTGGGGTCGGCCCCGTGCGCCAGCAGCAGCTGTGTCACTTGGAAGCAGAAGCGGTTGATCATCTGAGCCTCCTCTTTGTCCCCCCCCACCGTCTCGCCAAGCAGGAAGATGATGCAGGTGAACACGGTGTCCCCGTCCTTGGTGGTGGCCTTGACATCTGCCCCTAGAAGGGCCAATCAGGAGATCAGGAGGTGGGAGAAGGCCTGAAACCCTCTTGAAGTAACGCTTGATGCGTAAGTGGGGGACAGCCTGCAGAAACTAAAGTGTGGCTTGGAAAGAGCGGGGAGGAGCCTCACCTCCTTCCAGTAGGAGCCGGATGTTGTCAGTGTTGTGGATCTGCACCCCGTCGCTGCTGGCCAAGGCATGGAGCAGAGCTGTCTTCCCTACAGAGGGACAGTGAGGAGGAGCGGGAGGCCGGGGGCCGGGGGGCGGGACCTCCCCGGGGGGCAGGGGTGGACACTCAGGATCAGATAGACCAACTGAAGACTCAGCGCTCCGCTCGGGCTGAGGATGACCCGTTTCTGGCCATTCCTTCCACCCACACAACACGGAGAGCAGAAAGGCCAGGAGAGACAGGATTCTCTGGACCCTGAGACGCCACCTGAGACCCTGGCTCGGTCTCTCCTGACAGAAAGCCAGAATTCCCTCAGAGACTGAGTGCACACATACCCCAGCCCGAGGGGCTGTGCGGCCTCTCTACGCCTCTGCAGGTCGGCAGTGTGCACCCGCATACGCGGCTGTGCTGGGCCACCAGAGGGGCGGCACCCAGCGGGCCCACCTAGTCGTCGTCTGGAGGGACCCTGGCTTTCCCTCACAGGGCACCCCGGTCCACCGCTGTCCTGCTTACCATGGTGAGGAGGCACCCACCATGTTTGTCAGCTGCGTTAACTTCTGCTCCAAGGTCCAGGAGGCGCTGCAGGCAGGGCAGGCGCTCCGGCTCCTCACTGGCCAGGTCCAAGGGGCTGCTCTCGTGGATCTGAGCCAGAAAAGCACAGCCAGGTTGGCCTGGGGGTCTGGGAGGCTGCTCGTGCCCTGCCCCCCACGCCCCTCAGAGTAGGCTGGACGTGGCTCTTACCCGGTCCCTCCGGTTAATGTCAGCCCCGTGGCGCACCAGCAGCTCCACCATGTCGGGCTGGTTTCGCAGGACAGCAATATGCAGGGCCGTGTAGTAGGTGACCGGGTCTGAAGGCACAGATGTGTCACTCCTGCCTAACGGTATGCTCACAGATCCCAGGACCTGGCCTGGCAGCCCAGTCCCCCGCACTCCCCCAAGGCATCCCAGGCTCCTGTCACCATGAGGGGTCAGGACAGAACTGTCCTCACTAGACGCTAGGGCACAGGCTCTGGAGTCAGACTGAGGTTCAGGTCTTGGGGGCGTTCTAGTGGGCACAGCATCTAATAATCTCTTTGGGCTTTAGTTTCTGCTTCTGTAAAACTGAGCCATAAAATAGGGCATCTCCTTTTGGGCTGTTGGGAGGAACAGTCAGTGACCTCTTCTTAAGCCTGGTCTCAGGAACAGCCGAGTTCACACAGGTGGGCCTCCAGGTGTCTGGCTTCAGAATGCCTCCTCTCCCCCAGCTCCTTGATCCTTCAGGAGCCTTGCTGCCCCCGAGCCCTCCTCAGGTGGGGAGGGGAGACAGGCCCGGCCACATCTGGGTCAGCACAAAGACCCCCATTTGGTCACAAGTCAGCCCTACACATATCCCCCACCCCCCGCCCACCAGAGGAAAGGAAATGGTGCCATCACCATCCCAGGCACTTATAAGATGGACACCAACATGGTCCTGCAGTGATTTATGGCCAGTGTGGATTGTTTTCCCCTCTCTATGGCATGAACAAAAATGAGCAAGACAGCTCAGAAAGAGTGGCAGAAAATTACCTTCCCATAGCTCTGGGCACTGTGCCAGCAGCTGCATTTTCACATTAACGAAATGGACTGAGCTGGGAGCTGGGGAAACTTTTCAATCACATGGTAGAAGCAGCAAGGCGGTAAACAAACCAGAGGCGATGAGGGTCGTCTGAAAACCCACGGGGGATGGCAGGCTACCCAGTATGGGTTTCCTTAGTTGTCACCCGTGACATAATGGGGGAAGTAGCTCCTAAGAGAACAGTAAAAGCTCTGAAGGCCTGGCCACCCGCACCCAGAGCAAGGCCATACTCAGGCCACCTAGCCCCCCAGCCCCTCTGGGTTCCAGCTGACCTTCAAAGTGGAGGTTGGCCCCGTTCTGCAGGAGAACATCAGCTGCCCGCGTCAGCCCCAGCTCAGCCATTTTCAGCAGGGCATTGCTCACCCCCTCCTGGTAAAATGGGGAGTGGGCCTTTCTCTCCAGCAGCTCAGTGAGAAGAAGGATCCGGTTCTCCTCGCTGGCAACGTAACCGGGCCTGGGGCAGGAGAGAGGCAGACCAGCTGCAGGTGGGCACAGCTGGCTGGGCCACCCTGTGGGCTTGTAGCCTTTAGTCTGTTGTGAGAGACTAGGCAGGGCTCTGGCTCTGTGGGGCACAAAGTCTCTTTGGAAAAGGTAGACAAAGGGCCAGGTTGGGCCTTTTAACTAGAGCCAACTCCTCAGGTTTGCTGAGAAAGGAATGGGGCTGTCTTGGGCCTGCTACCAAGTTACCCAGAGAATCTGGTCCCTGGCTTGGGTATAAAGCCTCACACACCTGGGCCACTGGGTCTGAAGAGAACCCTTGCCGTCAGGAGCAAGAAGTGGCGTTGTTCCTCAGACGCTGGCTGGCTGTCCCTGTGCTGCAGAGGACACCAGCCCAGCCCAGGCAAACCCGTGCAGACCAGCAGTCAGCAGCCCTCCTGCCCTGCTCACACTCTGAGATGCTGAGCCTCCCAGTCGTCGGAAGGCTGAGTAAACACAAGGATCTGCACACCCCAGCCCCCACCTGGCTGCCTCCCCCACCAGCACTGACCACTAAGGACCACCTCTTTCCCCAAAAGCTCAGGCCCACAGACAGCCCCATGACCTTGCCTGCTGCTACTTCACAGGCCGCCATCAACTCCTCTTGGTGAGGTCCCCCCTACCCCGTGCTCCCCACTCACCTCCCCCTCAGGCTCACCCATTTGCACACCTTCAACTGTCAGGATCGAGGTTTGCTCCTGACTGCCTGGTCTGGATTCCCTCTCATCCTCCAGCCCTAGGGAGTGCTCAGTGCACCGTGGGTGCTCAGCAAACATTCTGGGACACTGATCCTGCATTATGTCTGGGATTACAAAGGCCATGCCCCCCTCCCCTTGCCACCTTACCTGTACCCTAGAATGTCCCTAAGAGTTAAAGAAACACCTTACACTGCATTTTCAGAACAAGCCTCAAAGTGAACAGAACAGTGATGAAGAAAGCCTGTATTTTCATCAAACATAGTTTCCCTGGAGAGACGCATAATAACCACTTTGTTGAAATTCCAACTGATTTCCTGAAACACACACCTGACACCTGCCCTCTTTTTCC